CACCATGTTGGCCAGGCTGGTCTCGAACTCCTGACCTCAAGTGATCTGCCCACCTCAGCCTCCCAAAGTGCTGGGATTACAGGCATGAGCCACCGTGCCTGGCCAAACATTTGATTTTTTGAAGTTATGTAATTAGTATTTTGAAATTTTCAATTTCTGATTGCTCATTGTTAGTACTTAGAAGTACAACTGCTTTTTTGTCGAGGCATAGTGGCTCACGCCTGTAATACAAATACTTTGGGAGGCTAAGTTGGGAGGATCACTTGAGCTCAGGAGTTCAAAAGCAGCCTGGGCCTGATAGCAAGACCCTGTCGCTACAAAAAAAATTTTCTTTAATTAGCCAGCCATGATGGCATGCACTCCACCCAGCCTGAGGAGGTAGGCAATGCTTTTTGTGATATTTGAGGACAAAGATGTTCCTGGGAGAAGGAAAGAAATATGCAAAAGGTGATAGGCCTGCCTGGGGCATGGTAGGGATGGTACACCTGAGGCCCCACAAACTGGGCATTATGCCTGAAGGGCAGAATGTGGGAGGGAAGGCAAGGCGTGAGCTCAAGTGTGAGGAGATCTCTCTGGCTGCTGTACGGATAACGGATGAGGAGGAACGCATAGGAAAGGGGACTGTTGCATTTTCCCACGCATGAGATGATGATGGTCTGGACTGGGACAGTGGCAGTGAAAATGGCAAGGCAAGAATGAATTCTAGAGACACTCAGGAGGTAGAACCAACAGGATGTCCTCTCTTGCCTAATGCACCACAAGAGCTTCCTAACTGGTTTCCCTGCTCCCACACTTGCCTTCCTCCCCACTACAGATTATTCCAACACAGGAGCTGGAGTGACTTTATTTATTTTATTATTTTTTTTTTTTGAGACTGAGTCTCGCTGTGTTGTCCAGGCTGGAGTGCAGTGGTATGATCTCAGCTCACTGTAAGCTCCGCCTCCCAGGTTCATGCCATTCTCCTGCCTCAGCCTCCCGAGTAGCTGGGACTACAGGTGCCTGCCACCACGCCTGGCCAATTTTTGTATTTTTTAGTAGAGACAGGGTTTTACTGTGTTAGCCAGGATGGTCTCCATCTCCTGACCTCATGATCCGCCCACCTTGGCCTCCCAAAGTGCTGGGATTACAGGTGTGAGCCACCACACCTGCCCTGGAGTGACTTTATTACACCTAAGTCAGAGCATGTCACACCTCTGCTCAGCACCCTCCAGTGACTTCTCACTTCACTCAGGAAAAACCAAGGTCCCTGTGATGGCCAATGCAATCTTGCCCTGGCCTCTCTCCTCCTACACACCCTTCACTAGTTCCATTATAGCCACACTCATCTCCTCCAACAAAGTAGCACCGCTCCACCTTTATTGAGCTGTAACTCTTTACCCAGACATCCACTTGGCTCATAACCTCACTTCCTTTAAGTCTGCTCAAATGTCACCTTCTCAAGGAAGCTTACCCGATTATCCTCGCTGATACTGCAACCAGCTTCAAGTACCCCACCACATCCTGATCCCCTTTATTCTGTTCTACTTTTTTCCTATAGCACTGATCATCTTCCAGCACATTAGATTTTTCACTTATGTCTATGGTTTGCTGTCACATCTACTAGGATAAGCTCCATAAAGGCAGAGATCTTTATTTTGTTAAGTGACATCCTAAGTCCCTAGAACAGGAGACACTTGATCCATATTTGTAGACTAACTGAATAAATGACTTAATTACCAGTTTGGATGTGGGGGACAGATAGTGAGCATGATGCCCATTTCCGGAGCTGGGGTGCGGACAGTGTCTAGGGACACTGAAAGCAGGATAGATCCCGGCTGGAGACCAGACACGGAAATCATCAGCACCTGGGTCAGGGGGTGGAATGGAGCAGAGGAAATCATGCAGGAAGAGTAAAGAGAAGGACATCAGGTAAAGAGAAGAGGACATATGCATAGCCAGAGAGAAAAGAGGAGCAGAGACATGTGGATCACAGAAGCTTAGGGAGGAGACTTTCAAGAAGGGGAGAGAGGTTCAGTCAAGCAAGGGTTGAAAGCCAGCCATTGGATGCAGTCACTAGAAAGTTACAGATAGGCAGGGTGTTGTGGCTCACGCCTGTAATCCCAGCACTTTGGGGGACTGAGGTGGGAGGATCGCTTGAGCCCGGGAGGTCGAGGCTGCAGTGAGCCCTGATAGCGCCCATGCACTCCAGCCTGGGCGACAGAGCGAGACCCTGTCGCAAAAATAAATATATAAATAAATGAAAAGAAAAGGGGGGAAAAAAAAGTTACACGTGGCCTTACGGGGAAGCCAACTCTGACTGGTTATAAGCTGAAACTGTCAGGTCAACAGGTGACACGGAAGATGAGCACAGAGATTTAGAGGCAGACAGACCTGGCGCCAATCCTAGGACAGGTTTTGATAAGCCTCTGAATTTCAATTGCCCCACGTTTCGCGGGAGGGGGTAGCACCCTCTAGCTCATAAACCTTAGTGACTGATGATTAAATGAGATGACAGAGGAAAACGCAAGGCACAAAGTGGATGCATTGGCTCCATTTTGTTAATCAGCGAGCTTAGTTGGCTGCGACCCAGACACGAACTAAACTACAGGGCAGCCCAGGACCAGTGGGGGTCTTGCTTATGGCTCAGAGCTGAACAATACACGGACAGCAAAACCAGAACCTGAGATGGGGGCAAGTCTGCGATGCTGAAGTCAATTCCTTTGCACAAACAGAACACTTCCGTCCCAAGATTAGCAGGAATTAATCTCCCAGTCTCGGGTACACCTGGCTGCCCCTCCCTGACCTGGCGCGGCAAACGTCCCCGGAGGCCAGCCAGGGATCACCCGCCCAAGGACTGCGCTTTCCCTACTCTTCAGCCAACTGGAGCGGGACCTGGGCCTAGGCAACGCAGCTGTCCGCCCCTAACAACCACTCACCTGCTTTCCCCTTTCTATAGGCCAGTAAAGGTACTTTCTTTTTCTTATTGGTCCGCGTAACTTATCGCAACCAATCAGTGGCAGCCACGGGACCCAACTCACTCCCACACAACTTGGGGGGTGATCATGGAGAAGACAAATTTTTGTTTTCCGCATCCAGTTCTCTCAGAGAGCACCGTATTTGTCAAACTGTTGTGACTCTCCCTAAATTGAGGCTTTTAAACATTTCATTCCCCTTAGGCTTGTACAGTCTGTCCCTGGCCTACTCCCCCTCCAGGTGGTACAGCCCGCAAGCGGCTCCACCTCCCAGCCCCTCGCGGGGCCGAGTTCCCCACTAGGCGGAGGCCACTCAGCGCAGGGGCCATACCATCTGTGACTAATAAATAATAGGGGGACCCCCCCCACAACGTCCCACTGTTGCTCTATTACCTTCTGACCACCTCTCGGACCTCTTGCCCAGCCCTTCCCCGTAGACACGAGCCCCAGATACGGTGGTGACACCATTGCTATGGACCCACGTAGCGCGCAGTGCGAGCCAGGGCAGGACGCATTTGGTACGACCCACGCCGCGCCCCGCGCCGCCGGAAGTGAGGTGTCTGACCCCCGAAGTTCCGGTTCGCAGGGGGTGGGGAGTGTTGTTAACCGTAGCGGCCGCCGCAGTCGCGCGGATTGAGCGGGCTCGCGGCGCTGCGTTCCTGGTGAGTGGGGCGAAGTCTGGCCCGAGTTGTGGTTGGGGTCGGGACCCGAACCTTCCCCTTGAGGGCTCCAGAGTGGGCGCGGCCCTCAGCCCCGCCGCCCGCTTTCGGCCTGTCAGCTGGCCGGAGACCTCAGACGCCGGTGCGGCCGCTCTGCTCAAGCCTGGGCCCTGCCTGCGACGCCCGCAACTCCTAGTGCTCACAGGTGCGCGGCCGCGAGGGCGACCCGGCTTCTCCCGAACCGCTGCTGCTCTCTGCCGGTCGGCCGTTCTTGTGGTGCTCTGAGTTGACACTACTCCGGGGGTCGGGGGACCCCAGGATTCCAGGCTGACGTTCCCCGCCCACTCCCGCGGGGCGCGCGTCCGAACTGCCCACCCTAACACAGCTGTCACCGGCGCTGTCGCCTGCCCAGTCTGCTACCCTCTGTGCCTTGGCTGCTCAGCCCTGGCCGCGCGTTCCCGCCCCTGGAGCAGATTTCTGCTGTTGCCTCCCACCCCATCTCCTCCACCGGAGGGTCAGCGGTGCAGCTCCCCCTCCTCCAACACTGCAGCTTTTCCTCATCGCCTCCCTAGAGGCGGCGGCTTGGCAGTCAGCGTGGAAAGAGCCCTAGATTTGAAACAAGACTGACCCAGGTTCCAGGCCTTGCGTCAGTGTGATCACTTAACCCCTTCGAGGCTTATTTGTAAAATGGGGGAGAGTAAGCTATTCTTGGTGTGATGATTTCGAGGGCGAAATGTGATTCCCCCCTCTCCCCGCTTTCTCCTATTGATTGAGGCTGTGCCAGGCACCGTGCTATTTTGCACAGCAGGCGCATCACATAAGTTATTTTCTTGCCCCATTTAGGTCTCCGGGCCAGGGCAATGTTCCGCACGGCAGTGATGATGGCGGCCAGCCTGGCGCTGACCGGGGCTGTGGTGGCTCACGCCTACTACCTCAAACACCAGTTCTACCCCACTGTGGTGTACCTGACCAAGTCCAGCCCCAGCATGGCAGTGAGTTCAGGGCTCAGGGAGGGAGGAACTCCCTGGGAGGGAAGGAGGAGTCTGCCTGGGCCAGGGGCGGGGCTAGAGGTCAGGTAAGTAGGGAAGTAGCCGCCAGCTGTCTAACTTTGAATAAACTGTGATTAGGATGTGGAGGATCCCGAATGATGAGTCCCAAGCAGAGGAAAGCGGAAAGTGACCTCAAACCATAGCCTCTCCCCACTCCTAGGTCCTGTACATCCAGGCCTTTGTCCTTGTCTTCCTCCTGGGCAAGGTGATGGGCAAGGTGTTCTTTGGGCAACTGAGGGCAGCAGAGATGGAGGTAAGATGTCGGTTGCCCCAAAGGTGAGGGCAGGGTGCTGGGAAAGAATGTTTGGGATCCACATTATTCCCTGCCTGGTCCCCAGCACCTTCTGGAACGTTCCTGGTATGCTGTCACAGAGACTTGTCTGGCCTTCACCGTTTTTCGGGATGACTTCAGCCCCCGCTTTGTTGCACTCTTCACTCTCCTTCTCTTCCTCAAATGTTTCCACTGGCTGGCTGAGGATCGTGTGGACTTTGTGAGTCAAGGAAGGGAGTTCTGAAGCAGGTGGAAGCCAGGGAGTGGCCAGCGGGCAGGCTTAAAGAGCAGGGAGGGCTGGGTTGAGGATGTGGGGTGAGCCCCAGGCTTCCTGACAGGCCTCTTGTGTGCTCTGCCTCAGATGGAACGCAGCCCCAACATCTCCTGGCTCTTTCACTGCCGCATTGTCTGTGAGTGAGATTCAGGGGAAGGGAGGGGAAGAGTGGAATGTGAACAGTGGGCCTGTACTCCGGAGCACAGGCCACCCCCCACAGCTGTACAGGAAAGATAATTTAGGAAGTTAATTTGCATAGTCTCTGTCCTGTTCCACTCCAGGGCTTCTCAACTGCCTGGGCCCTCAGCCCTTTGCCTTCTCACCTGCAGCCTGGGCACCCCAACGACACCCCCTCCCCCAGGAAGCTCCCAGAGGGCCAGGTTCAGTGGAGTGTGCCCACCTGACTAGATCACTGGGGCCATGGTAGGCTGGAGGGTGGGGCTGTCGTAGAGCATTAAATAGCTGTTGGGCCCTGGGCTGACCTCCCCTACCCCGCATGTATGGGGGTCCCCACAGCTCTCATGTTCCTTCTGGGCATCCTGGACTTCCTCTTCGTCAGCCATGCCTATCACAGCATCCTGACCCGTGGGGCTTCTGTGCAGCTGGTGTTTGGCTTTGAGGTAAAACTGGCTTGGGAGGTTGAGAGGACAAGCCCGAGGTGACCCCACATGCACTTTGAATAACCCAACAGACCCTTCCTCAGCACCTGCTATGTGGCCAACCTGTGCTGGCCACCAAGGGGCAGTGATCAGATACGGCTCCTGCCCTCCACACCCTCACTCCTAGGTGATTGGGAAAAAGTACAAAGAGCCTAGGACAGAGGAGGAACCCCAACCTGGGGCTCAGGAGAGGGTTCCTAGAGGCTTGTGCCAGAGCTAGCTGGTAGTGGACAGGAGAGGATTAGCTTGATGGACATTTGGAGGCGTGTCCCTGGCAGAGGGAGAATGTGTTCAGTGACAACAGCTCATATTTGTTGAATGCAAATTTCACACCAGGCCCTGTGCTGAGCTCCTGACCTGCATCTCTTATTTAGCAAGACAATACTGTTATAAAGGAACAGTTAATTCTGTCATTTTATAGATAAGTTAATTGAGGTTCATTGAGTTGCCAAAAGTCACAGCTAGTAAGTGGAGGGGCTAGGAGGACCCCGGGTGTGTCTAGAGCCTGTGATTGTACCACTGCACCTGCTGTGCAGAGGCTCGGGGGAGCAGTGTGGGTACAGCAAGGGGGAGCTGTGTGTTCACATCCCCCTCGTCCCCCTCTCCCTTCAGTATGCCATCCTGATGACGATGGTGCTCACCATCTTCATCAAGTATGTGCTGCACTCCGTGGACCTCCAGAGTGAGAACCCCTGGGACAACAAGGCTGTGTACATGCTCTACACAGAGCTGTTTACAGGTGAGAGGGGCCTGGGCCTCTCCTGATCTGGACCAGCATACTCCACTCTGCCTCCTGGCCCTGTGACCTGCTGCTTTCTGCATCCCCTCCCCGCAGGCTTCATCAAGGTTCTGCTGTACATGGCCTTCATGACCATCATGATCAAGGTGCACACCTTCCCACTCTTTGCCATCCGGCCCATGTACCTGGCCATGAGGTGAGCCCAGCCCTATCCCCCGATCCTCCCAACCTGATCCCGTCCCTTCTCCTGCTTTCACTGACTGTCCTTTCAGACAGTTCAAAAAAGCTGTGACAGATGCCATCATGTCTCGCCGAGCCATCCGCAACATGAACACCCTGTAAGTAGGCTTGTCATGGCTGCTGTCCCAAGCTGTGTCCTGGGTCCCTCTGCTTCCAGCTCTGGATCTGATACAGCCCGTCATCCTAACCAGGTATCCAGATGCCACCCCAGAGGAGCTCCAGGCAATGGACAATGTCTGCATCATCTGCCGAGAAGAGATGGTGACTGGTGCCAAGAGACTGCCTTGCAACCACATTTTCCATACCAGGTGGGAGGGGCCCTGGGGAGTCTACACAGCGGGGCACAGGCCCCAGAAGGCAGGCCCCTAGGGATCTGCTGACCTCTGCCTGGCCTTGACCCGCAGCTGCCTGCGCTCCTGGTTCCAGCGGCAGCAGACCTGCCCCACCTGCCGTATGGATGTCCTTCGGGCATCGCTGCCAGCCCAGTCACCACCACCCCCAGAGCCTGCGGATCAGGGGCCACCCCCTGCGCCCCACCCCCCACCACTCTTGCCTCAGCCCCCCAACTGTGAGTATCCCCTTGTCTGACCACGCAGCATCCCCTTGTCTGACCACCCAGCACACCACTGGGTACTTGCCCTGGACTGGGTATGGAAGATGCTGGGAAATTGGAGAGTCCCTGCCCTCCAGAATCTCAGTCTGGGCCAGGAAGGGATGGAAAGATGAGAAATAGATGCTTGCAGTCAGTGTGACCAGTGCTGCGCTCAGGGCCTGTGGGAATAGGACAGAGCTTGCAATAGTCAGGCCCCCTGACTGGGAGTTGGGTCTGTGTCCATTTGGCCCTTTTCTTACCTCCCTGTCTTCTCTCTGCAGTCCCCCAGGGCCTCCTGCCTCCTTTTCCTCCAGGCATGTTCCCACTGTGGCCCCCCATGGGCCCCTTTCCACCTGTCCCGCCTCCCCCCAGCTCAGGAGAGGCTGTGGCCCCTCCATCCACCAGTGCAGGTGAGCCTTTGGGTACTGTGACAGCCAGGGGGTGGCAGGGATGGAACACTCACTGACTTCTTGTTCCTGCTCTTCAGCAGCCCTTTCTCGGCCCAGTGGAGCAGCTACAACCACAGCTGCTGGCACCAGTGCTGCTGCTGCTTCTGCCACAGCATCTGGCCCAGGCTCTGGCTCTGCCCCAGAAGCTGGCCCTGCCCCTGGCTTCCCCTTCCCTCCTCCCTGGATGGGTATGCCCCTGCCTCCGCCCTTTGGTAAGCCGGGCCACTCTGGGTTCTTCTGGGGGGTGAGGTTGGTGTCTGGCCCCAGCAGCCCAGACTGAGCCTTTCTCTCTCTCTCCAGCCTTCCCCCCGATGCCTGTGCCCCCTGCGGGGTTTGCTGGGCTGACCCCAGAGGAGCTACGAGCTCTGGAGGGCCATGAACGGCAGCACCTGGAGGCCCGGCTGCAGAGCCTGCGTAACATCCACACACTGCTGGACGCCGCCATGCTACAGATCAACCAGTACCTCACTGTGCTGGCCTCCTTGGGGTGTGTCTGTACAGGGGAAGCAGAGTGGGTTTGGTGGATCAGGAGTGGAGCTGCCAGGAGGTCCCCAGCAGTGATTCTTGGCCTTTGACACCTGCCAATTCAGGCTACCTATCTACAGGTCCATCCAGATTCTCCAGGAGTTCTTGGTAACTCCTGGTGCCTATCTGTCCTCCCACTCCAGAAAGCACATCTGGATCTAACTAGGAGTGATGTTTATTCGAGAGCTGACTTTGGATCTTACTCCTTTTTATTTCTCTAAAGTCAAATTATTCAGAATTTGCAGTGCTTTAGTTCATCACATGATATTCTCCTGAGATGTAGTGACACTTAGATTGACAATTGCTGCCCCCAAACTGAGGGAGCAAATAATAGGAAGTCACTTGGAGCCATCCTGGCCCAAGTGCAAGCGCTGGTCCCATCACTCACTTGTTTTTGACCTCTTAACGTTATTTGAATAAAGGGGTCTTAATTCATATTCGTAAGTGATGTCTACTGCCGATGCGGTGGCTCACACCTGTAATCTCAGCACTTTGGGAGGCTGAGGCAGGACTGTTTGAGCCTAGGAGTTTAAGGGTGCGGTGAGCTATGATTGTGCCACTAAATTCCAGCTTTGGTGATGGAGCCGAGACCCTGTCTTTTAAAAAAGTGACATGTACATAATGCCTGGCATCTAGCAGTGACAGCACAGGCTTGGAGAGGAACTTGAGTCCAAGGCTTGAGCACTGTGGCTTATTCAGTGGGTCCCCTATAAGGTGCCTGACTCCCCAGGGTGGAGACTGCAGGGTAAGAGTGAACAGGTCA